AAACAAGGAAGAGCTTAAGAAAGGAAAACTTAATGAAAGTGACACAGTGAAAGACACATACCTACCCAGTGATTAAATCCCTCAATGACAACTTTGAAACCTGTGACCTCATGGTAGGGGGCATATGTCATGCTAAGCAAAATGGAAACATGCTTTTAAAAACAATCAGAGTCCAATGTTCGCACAGAGTCACGTGCCCCAGAGTTCACAATAAACTTGAGAAAACACCACTCCCCAAATGGCAGGAAATTCCTCCTTAGAAGCCACAGCATACTGGAAATTAGCTCTCCTTTTACGGGATGGGATGGTACGTGACCCCCTGCACTCCTTACACCTCTCAGCAGGAGCTCCTGCCACTACCACTGGGAAAAGGCCTGGATTTGGGAAATGACTTCAGCGGACTTGCAACTTGATCTCAAAGACTGGACGAGTTTCCTATAAGCATGACTGCAAATAGAAAAGAGGCAGACATGCCGAGACCGGTTTGGCTCAATGGATAGAGCGTCGGCTTGGGGACTGAAGGGTCCCGGGTTCGATTCCGGTCAAGGGCATGTACCTTGGTTGCGGGCATATCCCCAGTAGGGGGTGTGCAAGAGGCAGCTGATTGGTGACTCTCTCTCATCGATGTTTCACACTCTATATCTCTCTCTCCCTTCCTCTCTGTAAAAAATCAATAAAATATATTTAAAAAAAAAAAAAAAAAAAGAAAGAAAAGATAAGAGGCAGACAACCGGGGTACAAATCCCAGCGCACAAAGCCATTTCCTAGCTTTGTGGCCAATCATTTTTTTACTTCCCTCATCTGTAATATGGGGAGAATGATGCTCTCTATCTACTTGGTCACTGTGAGGAAAATTAGCTAATATATGCAGAGTATTCAGAACCATGGTATACAAGTTAAGTTCCCCAGTTTATTATTACTCCTGTTTGTTGTTACAGGCATGGTTTTAAATTTCTCTTTTAATCCATAAAAAAGCAAGAATGAGGAACAAGTCCAAAAATCTGCTTGTAGATTCTATTCTTGTCTAAATCCATTGGAAAACCAGCCCATCTACACTGATCAACCTGCCCTTGTTCTGAAGCCTGGAGAGCTAGGGAACTGGGGTCCAGTCAGGGCCTTGAAGAAAGCCCCAACTCCCCGCTCTCCGCTTGGCTCAGCAGGGCAAGTGCCCTGGCCTTCCTTAAGAGCAGTCAACAATAAGTATCGTAAGAGAAACTAAAAATTAAGAAAAAGGCTAAAATGTGAAAAGATGGGCAGCATTAACTGAATTTGCTAATAATCTGTTTGATGTCATCTCAGGAAAATTCCCCTGTGCCTCATTAAAGCCCCACCCAGGGAAAATTGATGCCTGATTGAAGTTCCCCAAAATTATATTAGGAGCAAAAATTCCTAACTCTGACCTCTCCCTAGAAAGCGGAGCCAGGTGAATGGAAAGAGCCCAGAGATGAAAATTGGGAGGTCCAGGTTCAGGCTCTTTGGCCTTGAGTATGTTCCTGGCCTCCCCGGGTCTCATTTTGTTGTTGTTGTTGTTGGTTTGGTTTTTTGCATCTTTAGGTGGAAAGTAAATATAAACATTCGAGACCCTCCAGGACCTGAGCCCATCACCCTCCATCCTGGCACTTGGCATTTGGACGGCTGTGGAGTGAGGAGCACTGACCTTATTACTCAGCTGCATACCCCTGGTCCAGAGACACAGGACGAAGGTGAAAGGAGACGATGTGCGTGAGGGACCAGCTTAGTGCCTGGCACTAGGAGAGTTCTATGCACATTAGCACCCATGTTATCGCCGTTTCTTCCCAGTGGAGCCGCAGGGGAAAGATTAACAATGTGATCCAAGGACTTGTATACATGCATACAAGTACAACTAATGGACATAAAACTCTAGGGAGGGAGGGTATGTATGGGAGGGAGGGAGGGGGGCAAAAAAAATTTAATAAAATATATTTTAAAAAAAGCAATGTGATCCATACTCTGTTCTTTCTCACTGGGCCTTGGCCTATGGTGTTCCTCTGCCTGGAAAATCATTCTAACCTTGACCATGTGTTTAAATCTACCCACCTTTTAAGTCCAACTTCAAATGCTGCTTCTTCCACCCAGCCTGCCTGACTCCTATCCAGCCAAAGCAAACTCTCCTTTGGACATTCACAGCAGTTCTGGCAAATACATTCCACCCTATGCTGTGTGTTACTACAGGGCATTCTTGAAGGCAAGGATTCTATCTGCCCACATTTTCCAACACTGAAGAGGCCAGAGCATTCAGGAGAAACTTGTTAGAATTGCAAATTCTCAGGTCGGCCTCAGACCTATTGAATCAAAATATCTGGGAGTAGGGCCCAGAAAACTGGGCTTTAATGAGTCCTCCAGGAAATTCAGATGCTTGCCAAAGTTCAAGAACCACTGAAATAAGGGTTTGCTGAACGAATACATGATTGAATGATGAGTTAAAGTGCAAGTGTGTGTGTGGGTGTGGGTCTACGCACACACATATGTGTGTGTGTCAGTCCTCAGCACACAGGAAAATGCAGCTTGACAGAGATAAAAGGGTTGGTGCAAATGGCATTTTCCCCCTAGAAGCCTTCTGCCAAGGATTTCCTGGCTGATATTTTCTTCCTTCCAAAGTAAAGAGACAAAAAGAATAACCCAAAGCCCATTACTTTCACACTGTAGGCAAAGTTTAGAGGCAATTAGAGGGAGTAGGTTTCAAGGCCACAGAAAGTACAGTGTTGATGAGAACTGAAACGGCACATTCCAACACTCACCCTCTCTCCATACCCATCAGATGAAGGTCAAGACCCCAATAAAGAGGAAAACCAAACGATTCTCAGGGGGGTGGGGCACTCTCTGGGCATCTCCTGACCAAGAAGCCATTCTGAGCACAGGTGAGAGGAAAGTTCTGCTTTTACAGTCTCCATCCCTGAAGAACTTAGAAAGCATGAACCAACTGGAAGTGGTTTTCTCCTCGTCCAGATTCTGGTTTCTATCTGGCCTCCCCTTTCCCAGCTGACCATAACCGGAGAGATAACTGGCCACTCGTGCAGCTCTTCCCCTGGCGTTTTCAAGCCTCCTTGCCATCTGGGTCTCCCTGTCCCGCCACCCCGCCACCCCACTACCCTGCCCTGGCTTCGGTGACCCGATTCTGGTGGCTACGGAGCCTGCTTTGCAGCAGCCCAGGAGGCTCTGTCAGTCTGAGATGGGGCCATCAACTCCAGCCCTTTCCGCAACTGACGGGCCTGGGCCAGGCCCCAGAAAAACAAACTGTCAGCTTTGTGGCTTTTTGGCAGCCTGGCTTCGACTTTTGTTTTAACAAGGGGTGGGAGGGAGAATTTGAACCCTGTGGTTATCTGCATTTTAAAACATTTAAACAGAGTCTGTCCACCTGCTTGGCACTTTGTGTTCTCCATAAGTCCTTCAGCCCCACCCCTTCTAAAATAGCGACAGTAATTCTGAGCCTCCTTGGTGGCTGTTATATATGTGGGAGGACTCGGGGGGGAAAGGGGAATATTCTGAGATCTATCTTCTCCTTGGGGGAGGAGTCTACACTTGACCACCACCTGGGATTCCTCAGAAAGGTTCTCAGTCTCAAAGGGGAGGGACCAGGGTGAAAAGAGGTCCTATTTTGTAAAAACCACTCCCACTGGCTACAAGATCCTTTTGCTTTTAGAGGGAGTCTTCCCGGCCAAGAGTCTGATTTCCTCTCCATTCCAGATCATAGCCCTTCTAGCTGCTTTCTGACATATCACTGATGTGGGGGGAATAAGGAACTCGGAAAGAAGAGAGGGAACAGGGACAGGGGTGCTGGTGGCAATATGGAAATGGTTTGACAAACAAGTCCAAAGTTCATTTCCAAGTGGAGGGAGCGAGGGGTGCTTAGAATTATCTGGAGAAACAGCCTATCATTTCCTCTCTCAGCAGACAGTTGTGAGAACCACTGCAGTGATGGCCACCTGCCCTAAGGACTCTGCCACCCTCCCATTCTTCCTCGAGCATCTGACAGTGTCTTGTCTGAGTACTCCGAAGATCAGAGAACAAAGTGAGTTAGTGAACAGTATCACCACCCTTGGGCAACTCTGGAAGGTACAAGCGGTCCTGGCCTCAACCAAACCAGTGGCAAGACAAGGAAAGGACTGTCTGTCTCCACAGGGCGATGAGCTGACGGTAACAGGTTGGTGCATTGGAAAAGCCTCCAGACACTTCAGCTTGAGAGCACGGGGCTCCCTCTCTCCAGGAGGGCTCTGTAGGCAGGAGCTACAGAAAGATTATCCCTTTGAGAGGGACCTCAGGAACAGAAGCAGCTCCTTGATGCTCCATGGGGAGTTACAAAATCTTGTAGTTTTGTTTTTTAATTGATTTCAGAGAGAGGAAGGGAGAAGGAGATAGAAACATCAATGATGAGAGAGAATCCTCCTGACATGACCCCTACTGAGGATCAAACCCGTAAACAGGCATGTGCCCTAACGGGGAACCAAACTGTGACCTCCTGGTTCATAGGTCGACGCTCAACCAGTGAGCCACACCAGCCAGAAACCTTGTGGTTCTTATTTAAAAAATAAATTAAAAAATGGATTTACAGCCATTCACAGAGCCCAGCTTGGCATTCACAGCAGCTTAGCTGCTGAAACCTCTCTTCACAAAGTGGGCAAGCTTAGGAGTCTGGGATGCCCATGGAAAGGCCCAAGGTTATCACTGCTCGGCACACACTGAAATGAGCATCAGAGAGAACCAAGGCAGGAGTTTCTGCAGCAGACCTGGCAACCACAGCCTCTTAAGAAGGCCCAGACCATATTCTTCAGTCTCTAGCCCTCAATGTCCAAGAACATCAGAGCCTTCCTCCATTACAGAGGAGGAATCACTTATGGAACCAGGAAACTAATTCTACTTGCCAACTCTGCTCCCAAGAAAATGAGAAAAAGGCTGACAAGTCCCCAGGTTTTCCAATGACAATGAGCAGAGGCAGTAACCAGCACCCCGGGGCTCCAAGAAAGCTCCAGGCAAGAACTTACACCAGAGTTCATAGTAGTAGTTGCAGCACTGAGACTGTCCACAGCAGTGTCCTGTGTCACAGATGTAGCTCTGATTGTTGGTACCCACACAGGTTTCCTTATCCTAAAAAAAAAATAAATAAATAAATAAATAAGCAAGCAAATAAAATTTAGCATATTAAATTACTTCTCATCCCCCCTTTTTCTGGTCATCTGCTCACTCTCCACCAAAATGGATTGTATTAATATTTATTCCATTAAGAAAAAAATATTAGAGAGAACAGCAAATTTAAGAGGGGAAGGGAAATGGTTTATTAAAGGGAGAAGAGGCCCTGGGCCAGGAAGCTCAGTTGGTTGGAGCATCGTCTCAATGTGCTAAGGTTGTGGGTTTGATCCCCAGTCAGGGGATGTATAAGTGTCCACCGATGAATGCTTAAATAAGTGGAATGGCACATCAATGTTTCTCTCCTTTCTCTCTCCCTTCTCTCCCTCTCTCTCTCTCTCTCTCCCTCTCTCTCTCTCTCTCTCCCCCCCACCCAATCAATTATTTTTTTAAGGTCCACATTAAAAAAAAAAGGGGGGGGGGAGGATTCAGCACACACAGCTGACTGGTAAAGAGCAGAATTCTTCTCAGACAGGAAAGGGTTATGTCATTTTCTTTATATCCAAGCAGAAACACTGTATATTCCAGTGTTATTTAAACTCAACTGGTAGCAAGGTGATGATTCTCCTGTAATTAGCAGTGGTTTTAAATAAAACCAGCTTTTCTGTGAAAGTTCCTGGAATAATTAATACAGTATGGATTCTAAGATTAGGATTAGCATGTAGTCAGGCATTCCATCCTCCCTTCAAAACACAAGATCTCCAAGGTTAATTACACTGTGATTCAAACAAAGGCTAAAAAACCAGCTACTAAATTGTTCACTTTTCAGAGGTGGCCTGCTCAAGTGACCTAGTCCAAATTCAATTTGCTAGATCATTTTTAGCATATTGAATGATCTCTTAGTAATCTTGACTGGATACAGGATTCATATTGTCCCTTCTCAGGGACAGCTACAGAAAAGGTACTGCTGGGTAACCATCTAGCCGTTTTTTGCCAAATTCTATTCACAGCACCGGGGAATGGAAATGGAGGTGAAAAAGATTTTTTACACTTCACACTTTAAGTATGAAATACCCCACCAGCTAACCTGAACTTCAGCCCAAAATATTCTCTGGACCACAATGTATATGATGAGACCTGTAAGTCAATCACTTGCTCTATCTGGCTTTCAACATTTCTTTATTCTAAAGAAGTGACATGTGGATTTACTGAACACTGTTTTGTGCTAAGCACTGAGCTCGGTAAGAGGACTATGCAAAGATAAATAAAGAAGACATTGTTCTTATCCTCAAAAAGCTCAGAGTTAAGAAGGGGAAAAAACCCTACTCAGCAAAGAAACTCAAACCACAGTATTGTATTTGCTGCTCCTCAGGCTGACCCTGCCCACAGCACACATCCGGGAAGAGGCCTGCCAGTGGAAACCTAAGTCACATGGTCGGTTCATGCTCTCTGCACCTGGCTTTCCTAGTCTATCTACTTGGCCAAGGGTATGAACAAAGCATGCCAGTGACTCTCTACAGAGATAGGAGCCAGAAAGCAACAATACAGGTACCTGAAGCCATAAGAAGCGCTAAAAACCAGATCCCTGGCTCAGTGCAGGTTTCCACCACACATCCTCAGGTGTTTCCTGGTCTTTAAAGAATCATACACCCCCGTGTAAACGGGTTTAGGAAGAAGAAACATGGGAAAGGCATTTGTAAACTCTGACAATGAGGGTTTCACAATATTGCAAACAATTCTTCTGTCTTTGCCTTCCTGTATACCACATACAGAATACAATCACCTGTAAGGCCTGGAACACACGGAGAAAGCAGATCTGTGCTCACTTTTGCTAGAACATACGCTCTCTGACTTCAGAATAAGACGCTGCTTTCATAAAGATATCAAAAAGTTCCTCCCAGTGTTGGAGCGTCGACCTATGATCCAGGTCATAGTTTGATTCCCAGAGTACATGCCTGGGTTGCAGGCTTGATCCCCAGTGGGGATGGTGCAGGAGGCAGCCAATTAATGATTCTCTCTCATCACTGATGTTTCTATCTGTCTTTCCCTCTCCCTTTCTCTTATTCTGAAAAACAAACACACACCCCAAACCCAAGTCTAACAAGCCTGGAAATACCGTTTTTCTGACATTGGCTCACAAAAGCACAGTTCAAAAACGTCCACATAGCCGAAACTGGTTTGGCTCAGTGGATAGAGCATCGGTCTTCAGACTGAAAGGTCCCAGATTTGATTCTGGTCAAGGGCATGTACATCGGTTACGGGCACATCCCTGGTGGGGGTGGTGCAGAAGGCAGTTGGTCGACGTTTTCTCTCTCATCAGTGTTTCTAACTCTCTATCCCTCTCCCTTCCTTTCTGTAAAAAATCAATAAAATATATTAAAAAAAAAAAAACCCACAAACAACAACAACAAAAATTCCACATAGAGGCTGTGCTGTCTATACCCTGACACCTTAAAGAATCCAGTGATATTTCTGCCTCGGGAAAATGTACCAGATGAGGTCCAGGCTCTGAACACAGTAGCCAACTGGTCCTAAGTGAGGCGTGGAATGGAACATGTCTGAAAACTAGACAAGTGGCATCCTCATGACCGACTGGTGTCAGCTTTTCTCCTGGCTCTTCCCTCCCAAGGCAGGAAGCCTGACATAAACAGGAGCCCACGCTTTTTGCCAGGGACAGCAGAACTGAAGTAGCATCCTTCCATACAGAGTTCTCCCAACACTAACTATATATCTCATCTGTTCTTCCTCTGCCCCCGGACAGAGTCCCCACGCTGCCTGGGAAGGTTTGATTATGGGAACTGTCATTTTCTGCTGCAGGAGAAAGGAAAGACAGTGGGCAGTTAAGGAATGGGAATATATAAGTGGGCTCATGGACCTTTAGCAAAGAAAAATAAGGAAGACTGGGGTAGAGAGACGTGTCAAGGTGAACTCCTCCCGAGACTTGCTGGTGTGAGAAAAAAAATCCAGGTGCCTTGCATTTGGTCCCAGCTCTGCCACAATAGAGGCACAGAACTTTGGTTAAGTTCCTCAGTGGTCCTAAGACTTATTAAGATGCTTTCTAATGTCCCCTTCAACCCTAAGTAAGGCTTTATTACCCTACACACCACCCATCCCTCTGACATATCAGCCTTGAGTCAACTCAAGAGCTCCTGTAATCTATCTCCTCTCATTCACAGTGACAGCAAAGAACAGTGACGTGTGCAAATGCCGCCTGGTGCTTCCCACCCGCTCCTGTAAAGAATGGCTTAACAGTGGGTTACCCAGTGGACTCTCCCAGACCTCACATGGCTCAAGATCTGTCAGGCAGAAGTGATTAAGATTTGGTCAGGCCTGGGTTCAAAACCCAGTTTATTAACTTATTAAGCCCACCATGCTTATTAACTGTGTGAGCGTGGGTAAGTTACTTAACTTCTCTGAGCTTTTAATATCAATATTATTTTGTGAACCATGATTGTCAGCATGAAAGATCATCCAAACAGCACTTTGAATTCACTTAGAACTCTTTCAGGATAGGAAAGTTCACTGGCTGGTCCAGAGACACAAAGAATAAGAAAAGGAACTGGAGAACACGCAATGGAAACTTCAAATATGGAAAATTCTCAGCACCCTTTATGATCATCCTTTGCTTTTCTCCCAAGCATCTTTAAGCACTTTACACACATATGTTGGTCAAGCCAGCTCTTGAGGAGTGACCAGTAATTGTCCCTCCCACCCCTTTCTGCAGAGGGGAACCAGAGAATAAGCTGCACTCGCCCTATGGACAGGAGCTCTTGTCTCCTTATCCTCCTCCCCCACTCCGAGTATAAGCACAGTGCCCAGGCCGGGCCTGGCCGGGCCATGCACCTGCCGCCCCAGCAGAGCTGAGGGGATTGGGCACCACCATCTTTGAGGGCATAGCAGTCAATTAGCATATTCTCTCCCTATTGGCTGTGGGTTGACATATTTGTGAGGGTGTGGTCAATTAGCATATTCCCTCTTTATTATATAGGAGAGCCTCTCTGGTTGAAGTTGTACTTTTTCAGTTGCTTTTACCACTTCAGTTGCTTAAATAAATCTAATAAAAGCCCCAAATAAAATAAAATCAACATTGTGTCTTTGTGGAAAAGAAAAGGATCCTGTTCTGTACAGCTCTTTGACTTTGAGAGCAGGATCTTTCCTTTTCTACTTGGCAGCGAGGAGAGGCAACACGGGACTCCTACTTTCTTTGTTCAAAAGGTCATACTTTCACATACTGATTTTCTGTGTTCCACACTGGTGTTGCATCCTTCCTTTCTTCAACATCTACTGAGTACTATCTTCCTTTCTTCAACATTTACTGCATCAGCACTGAGCTGGAGGTGGGCAACACAATAGAAAAATGGCTAAACAATGTCACGATCCCTGTCCTTGAGAAGCTTGCGGTCTCACGAAAATAATAATAGCAATAATAATAATGTAACCACATAAAAAGGTCCGGAACAGCTTCTGGGAGAAAGTAAAGTGGAACTGAGATGTCAGGATGGCTGGAAAGTTAGTAACCAGGGAAGAGGGATGAAAGGAACGTTACAGACTGAGGAAAGGAAACAAGCAAAGCACTTTGGCTAGGAATGGTCAAGGAAGCAGTTAGGAAAGTTAGGTAAGCGGGAACCAGACCTCGCAAGGAGGTGACAAGATCAGATTGCATTTTATTAATTTGTTTTCAGAGCATTTTAAAGATAACTTCTTCCTTTATGCAGTTTTCATCTGCATAAAACACCAAGGCCAAAAAATGCTAGAAAGGTAAAACTTCACATAAATGAACTTTGTGCAAATAACTTGTGCTTTTAGGCTGAGGTCTTTTACCTCAGGGAGGACTGTGGCAATGACCACTGGGATCCTCGTGTTTACAGGTAGGGGCCTTCAAGCCCTGGTACCAGAGTGACCAACTCCAAGACACGGGGCACCTATGGTCACTCAACAAAAAGCACAGGCACAGAAAAGAAGCAAGAATGACCAACACCGAACTGGAAAGAACATTTATTACAATGGAAAAGGATGAACAG